AGAAAATATTCATGAAACATTGTCTTAGGCTTATTAATTGTAAATCTTCCACACAGAATTGTACATATTGCAATGGCTTTGAAGATATCTCTTTACATTAACTCTGGTAAATCTTATACACGTGTTCCAAAACAATTTTTGCAAGTATGTTTAAAATGGGAGTCTTTCTGTTTTGGTTTTTGTCTTATGCCCAAAGACGAGAGGAGCATATTACTCCTACCTACTTGCAGAAGAGATGGTGAAGAACCATTTGTGAGACTCTTCCCTTCACTCCAATAAGAGATATTTTAAAATTGGAGATGGGGAATTTGGAGACTAGGAAAGCAGTTTAAAAGGAGGTATTGTGAGTTGTACCTACTCTGACATCTTTACACAAGTCTAGAAAAGGTTGACTCAATGGAACCATTTAGATTCAGTGGTGCTTAGACTGATCAAAGCCATGAAATCTAAAGAGAATAGTTGGCCATTTATCCCAAACTCAGTGTGATGAGAAATTGCCTCTTTGAGTTTGACCTGCCCTTCTGGATATGTGACATCCGTAAGTGACCAAGGTATAGGACATGAAACAGCAAAAGCTAGAGCTGGCATGGAGTTTACTTAGATCCTCCTGAAAGATTGCCTGAGATAGGGAAAAACCTCAGCAGAAAGAAGACACAAATGTAACTTCAGATGCATTTATATTTGTCAATAAGAAGAAATTTGCAAAGTTGGGGATATAGATGGGGTGTGGGAAGAGGCATACCTTCAAAAGATCTGCTTTCTCCATAGACAAAAAGAGATAGTTTAAAATGTTGGAAGTCAACGAACACACATGTTGTATTACTATGACAGAACTGGTTAAGAAAGCCCTTTTGTGCTTTTTAACTACTCTTTATATTTCTACTTCAACCATAAAAATGTCAGAGGCACTTTAATGCCAAAAGCATCAGGAGCAAAATAGCTAGAAAATTAGGAAACAGTTACCTTACCCCAAATTCCCACTGCAGGCAACCAGTTTGGAGTATGTTCAAGATGAGTTAATTATATTTATTTATTTATTTTTTGCT